TCGCTTTTAATTAACATTAAGACTGTATCCTCTATTAACATTACAGGAAATCTATTTAACGCGTCCACGTGTCTCATTCAATCACCGGACTGTTCAATTTTGTAATCAAATTCTTTCAACATCAAAGCCCATCTGGCGACTTTGGGAGGTAAATTCTCTTTAGATAATGTGCGTTGGAACGCCTAACAGTCTGTCACTATTTTAAATTTAATACCTAAAAGATACACTCTAAACTTTTTAATAGCTTTGATTATTGCTAGTATTTCTAATTTATAAGAGCACCATTTCTTTTCGGCTTCAGTCGTTTTATTACTTAAATAATAAACAGGGTAAAAACATTTTTCTGGTTTTCTTTGAAGGAGCGCCGCTCCTTGTTTGCTTGCATCCGTGTGCAATTCCATGATAGCTTCCGGATCATATATCCGAAGCATCGGGTTTTCTGATAAAACTTCTTTCAATCGTGTAAAAGTTAATTGCTGCGACTGTCCAAAATAGAAATGCTGCTCTTCTTTCAATTTGTACAGACGATATGCAATCTTCGCGTAATTTTTAATATATTTTCTAAAATGCCCTGTGAGCCCTAAAAAGCTCTGCAACTGTTTGAACGTGTTGGAAAGCCTTGAACGGCTTTAACTTTCGCTGGCGAAGGTTTGATATATCCTTTCTTGATTATATGGTCTAAAAATTCAACACGCTTCTGCAAAAATTTACATTTTTTCTAATTAATATTGAGGCCACTATTGGCTGCGATCGTTATGACCTTTGACAGCTTGGAAAACGCATCTTCCTCATTACAACCTGGCACAATCAGATCATCCATGTAAATACGATTGATTTTTGGATCAAATCTCGGAACACTTCGTTTATAAATCTCAAAAAACTAGTCGGACTATTACAAAGCCCAAACGGTATCTTAGTAAACTCATATTGACCCGTTGGCGTCACAAAAGCCGTACATGGCTGACTCTCTTTATTAACTGGAACATGAAAGAATCCATTTTTTAGATCAAGTACCAAAAAGACTCGAAAGTTTACAAGTGAATCTATCTGATCGTCAATTAGAGGCATAGGATACTTATCACGACATATTTTCTTGTTCAAAGATCGATAATTTATACATACGCGACTCAAATTATCCTTTTTGCGTACTATAACAACCGGGCTGGCATACTCACTTAGACTAGGCTTAATAACACTTGACTGCAATCATTCATGTATTTGGTCGTCCAATATTTTTTTCTCTTTAGGCGCAAGTCTACGAGAGCGGTGATTAACAGGGATCTCGTCTTTTAAAACAGTCTCGACTAGGGTCTCGACATCCTTCTTCGGCTGATATTCCACAATCATCTCGATCTTACTTTTGTAATGTTCCGGCGCCTCGATTTCGTTAACAACAGTACAAGGTAATACGGTCAGTTTCTTGAATCGTCCATATCCGAGATCTTCCTTTTCAGTGCAGTCTGGTCTTTTCATTTTCATGACCACCTTCTCTTCAACGGGTAATCGCTTAATTCCGATTTGTCCTCTTCTTATGATGACTTCAACAACTTGTAAAAAGTCACGTCCTAGTATTAATTTGGTCATCGAGTTTATAGAGATATACAAATATTTCAATCTCGTAGTCATCATTGGCTACAGACAACTTTAACGGAAAAATGCCTCTTGGTTTAGTAGCAACATTTCCCAGTCCCGTGAAAACTCGAGTTGTTTCGTTTAGCTTAGGTTCGCCAATATTTCTGTATACGTCATCTCGTATTAAGCTGACGTCGCTCCCCGTATCAAGTAAGGCATGGTATTTCAATCCTGCAACGTCGACTGGAATAAATTTATCGTCTATACTGTTCACGCAACTTACGGTGACTGACGTCGTTCCACCCGCAGAGACTTGTTTAACATCACACTTCGTAGCTATGTATCCGAAATTGTTGCATTTAAAACACTTCGGGCCCTTGTCCGCGTCTGTGCAACTCTTAACATCATGCTCGATCGACCCGCAGTTGAAGCAATGTTTCTTATTCAACTGCTTGCTTCCTGATTTGGACTGTTCTTTCTTGACTTCTTTGACATTATTCTTGGGATTGTCCTTCTTCATGGGTGTTTTCTTTCGCTGCGTTCTTTCTTTAATGCGGTCGTATACTTCTAACTTCTTCTTTAGTTCCCATATTGTAGAAGCTTCGTACAGTAAAATCTTGTTGCTTTCTTCATCCGGCAATCCATCAACGATATATTGTACTAAGGCATCTTCTTCAATATATCCTTGGTCCACTATCTCTTGCATGGCATAGATGTATTGTCTGCTACTTTCTCCAGGTCGGCGTTTAAAAAGTTGGCTATGTATTAGTGCGCTATTTAATTTAACCTTGAATTCCTTTTTTAATTTTTGTTTAAGGCTACTCCATGTCGTAACATTCTTTTCAAACGATATAAATCGCTTCCTTTCAGCATACGTCTCCCGTATATTAGCCTTTGCAACTCATTTCATTGAAGCAAATCACTAGTATCTTCAAATTCTGCGATCCACTTCTTGATTGGCAACTTGTCGTTGCCTGTGAAACAAATTAGGCTGCCCTCTACATCTTTAATAGTAAATCCGCTATGTACATATTCAATTCTACAATCAGAATCTGCTACTCTGCGTCGACTTCGCGTATTACTCTTTTGTTTGACAGATGTATCTGTATCGGACGAATCATCTCTCTTACGATATTCTTTCTTGGCTCGTGATCGTCTCTCATATGTGGTTTCAATGCGCTTTTTTCTCCGTCACTCGTTGTTCTACATGTATCCCGTTTAAGTCGTTCTCGTTTTGTCGATTCATATTGCCGCTTTGAATCGTCCACTGTGTCCTTGTAGCTTGTCGTATCATCCTCACTTATTACTTCTTCGTCGCTTGCTATTTCTGCGTCACTAGCTGCTTTTTCGTTATCTGCTGTAACGTCTTTGATCAACGCTGCTGCTACTTCACTCGGGCGTCTTCATGCTATAACGTATCACAATCTCATCTGCAATTCCAATTTATTGCCGGTGGAGGATACGTTTAATTTTCTTAAAGCTTTTCTTTAAGTTTGATTATTTTTATATTATCGATGTCTCGGCCGTTATACTCCCTTTTGCAGATTATCTACTGCTTTCCGCTTGCCTCCTTCCGCCTTATCCTTATCTTCAACGTTTCCAACCGAATGTCCGCCTTAGCCACCCAGACGTACGTCGTCTTTGTTCATTGTCTACAACTTTGCAACTTAAGCAACTGAGGTTAGGATACGTTCCACGTATTGTTCGCGTGTTACTCGCGAAATCAACTCAAGACTGTATACGCCAATTGATTGCAGTGCTCAACTTACACTGACTCAACTTCGACAATTGATAATATATTGCTTAAGACTGATCTTTTGACGCCGTGTCGTAATCTTTCCGTTGTCCGTCTCTCGCCGATTCATTCCTCAGCACATCCCAGACGAGCCCCCAATTTTGTGGGAAAGTTTGTGAGGAAAACAGTCGATTAGAGTAATAAACAATATAATATGGAAACTGATTGAATACACAAAGGATAGTATAAAATAAACGCAAGCTCTTCTTATTATGTTCCCTTACGCACGTATTTATACGTTATTAAGCTCTAATTGCTTCGTTACTGCGCATGCGTTTCGATCGGGGCGCTGACCGATCAGAGCGCTGACCGATCAGAGCGCTTTCACAGTTTAACCATACACAGTTACGACAGTCGCCGAAATTTTTCGTATAATACTTTAAGACGCATGTGTCAACTGTACTATCTAAAACATGGCGATGCTACAATAATAAGTGTATATACATTATTATTATTATTATTTTCTATATATAATTATTCAATGTTATTTTATTATAAACAATGATTAAAATGTGCATGTTTACTTATAAGAATAAAATAAACGCATATTACAATATAAAATTAATTGTAAAGCTGATATTTACAGATTGATCTGATGTAAAAATCGTTCAAATTTATCCTAAAATCGCAAACTATATTAATAAAACATACTATTTAGTCGATCAACGTAAGAGCATCAGTTGCATTATAACATCTCATAATTTTATACTCAACAATGTAAATACTATAGTATCAACACAAATTAATTTAAGATGATTTTTAATGTTAGATTCGACTGTAAATACCAGTCTTAGTATATTTAATTTCATTCTCTCTTCTTCTTGCAGCAGAATGAACATGACAATTGGATTACCAGTGTCATCAAGAGAAAATACTATTTGCGCTATTTGTGTCAATCTATCTTTATCTTTCAATAGATATAAAATAAGGAAATAGAGTTATTCATTCAAAATACAATAAAATTCACAATAAGTGTGTTTATTTATTATTATTTAATCTTATTTTATAATTTAATTTTTTGCTGTGGTTTCTTTTATCTTATTACGTATTTTAAACAAGTTTATGATATACGTTTGTAGTTAGAATTTTAAATCTCTTTTATTTCATTTCTTTAAATTACACGCCTTTGTACTACCCAAAACATGGCGGAGAGTCACGTGACTGGGTAACACAAACATCAAAGGTTCCGACTTAAGGGCCCTTCCTAGTCACCGCGGCCATATTGGATTCGTGACGTCAGAAGCGAGAAACAGCGAGAAATGACATAAAGTTTGTTGCGTACCATATTTAAACAAAGAGGATTTGGATAAAATTAATAAATAGGATCGCTTTAGAAAACTTGTAAAAATAGATGGAAACTATCCTTTTCTCCCCTAAAAGTCAGTAAATAGTGGTAAAAGGCATGTAAAGTGAAGCTTATTCAAGCAAAACTTACGATTTGACAGCTGTTGAAAGGAACGGAAAAGATACTTTTACGTATAAAATTCAACAATAACTATAGTTTCCATCCATTTTTACGACTTTGATAAATACGAGACAAGTCACATTTTCACAATTAAGCACATAATAACGAAATGGCACGCAACACAAAATTCGTTGTCATCACTTTTCACACGGACAGAGTAAAGTCCGTTATTTTCTTCAATTGTCGAGTATTCTCTTCATATTTGACTGTGATTGATCAATTTTACACTGCTTACGATATCGGCATACAATTATTCTGTAGAATTATTACGGTTTATGACTTAAAACACCGATATATGACGTATTATAGGACGGGCCTAATATACGACAAGAAGCTTCTAATTTCTACCGCGATATAACGTCGTCACCGTCAACGCGGAGTTCGTGGCTGACTAGGAAGGGCCCTTAAGTAAAGAATTTCATGAATTTAAAACTGAAAGCAAACAACAATTCAATAAAAATATATAAAAAATGAAGGAACTAATTGCAATCTTAAAAGAGAAATGCTCAAATACTGCGAATAACGAAATCGCAGATGACTTATCATTGTTGCCCGATTTCCCATTATCAACCACTGAAGAATTTTTCGAATTTAATAATAGATTAAAAAATGATGAAGCCATTCATAAACGTTTTGTAAGTAAATCACACTCACACACACACACACACACACA